CAAATACTAATGCATGAAAATCCTAACCTCAAAAAAATCACCCGTTACATACAAGTGTCCAATCAGCGAACTCAGCTGGTCGCCTTCTGTTGCAATGCGGTCAGGTCACGACCTGAATTATTTAAGTGTAAAGCGCGTACGAGCGCACACTTGATAAAGTACCCAGCCAGACGGGATAGGATAGGACGACACGACAGGGAAATGCATGTGCGTCGAAATGTGTTGTTGGCATATAGTAATTGGTGGGCAGAGTTTTATTTTTTTGAGTGGTAATTTCGTTTCGAGCACCAGAGCTTTCCATTTTCGTTGACTACAGAGAAAGTATTTTTTGTTTTTAGTTTAGAAATGAGATATTAACCGCCCAATCCATTGGCCAATGATAAGACTCGTCGCATATCAATTGATTTGACTACTGCGCCTAAAAGTATGCCTCAAAAACTTGTCTCTAACCGCTCTAATAGTGACAATTTTCTATGTTATTATTATGGCATATTGAGTACGTGACAACGACGAAACTATGTCTATATTATGCGTCGAAATTTTAGGAACAGTAGTTAAATCAATTGGTACGCGATGGCGTGGGAAGGAGGCGGTAAGTATAATATTTAAATAAGACCAATTTCATTGAACAAATTGGTGTAAGTGTTCTTTGAATTCCCCATTGCGAAATGACGTGTCACATTGCTGCTTTTGTTTCGAAAATAAAGAAGCGTTGAAGAAAATGTCCTAATAGTCTCATACTATTCATTTTAATGTTAACATCTTCCTTTGAATCTGTTTTAAGTCTATAAATCAAATAACTTTCCTATTTTTATCACAGTACTTCGCTCTCGAAAGCTTTAGATATACCTGATCTTCGTTAAGACGAGACAGGGAAGTAAGGGCAAATGGGTTTTGCTAAATATGCCAATCACTGTCAGATGTTTGGGGCCACCAGTCAGCAATCTCATGAGCTGTCTGCAGTCCCATCTGAAAGCAAAAATAATAAAAAAAAACAAGCCCCCTTATTTTTAGGGGGATTATCTCTTAGACGGAATTAAGAATATGCGGATCTAAACCAAATTAGTATGGGACCAACCCTGAGGTAACACCTTTCCTTAAAACAAAGTTCTAGAAATCGGTTTACGTGATCCAAAGTTATCTGGTAATATACTAGATACAGTGCCGAACAGAAGTATTGGCACAGTGAATCTTTCGCAATATATGCAAAGTTCTTTATTCTAATTTATTTTGGATAATTTTTTATAAAAATATTGTTCATTCTACACCAGAAAACATAATAATAAAATCTCTAAACTTTGTGCAAAACTCAGGAAAAATCATTAAATTTGCGCACTAATTTGCAACTTTTTATTCAGATTTTTTAGAAAAATTCTAAGTATGCAGTTTTATAGCCCATTCAAATTTAGTATAACAAAGTGCAATTTTTTTTCACGCAAGTTCTTCCATACAAAGTAATTCGACAATTATTTTTTGTATGGAGAAAATGAGCAACACCTTCCACTAAAAAATTGCCAAAAATCAACGCGATTTTCTAGCGACTTCAAACTTGCACTGCGTACTTAGAATTTTTCTAAAAAATCTTAATAAAAAGTTGCAAATTAGTGTGCAAAAAAATTGAATTTTCCCGAGTTTTGCACAAAGTTTAGAGATTTTATTATTATGTTTTCTGGTGTAGAATGAACAACATTTTCATAAAAAATTATCGAAAATAAATTAGAATAAAGAACTTTGCATATATTGCGAAAAATTCACTGTGCCAATACTTCTGTTCGGCACTGTATGTACATAAAAAAAATTAAAAATATTCCTACGAATTGAAAATCTTCTCCTTTTTTAAAGTCGGTAAAAAATAAAAAAAAAAGTCTCCGCTGACTTGTCTTCGAACCTGGTTCCTACGGAATGGCAGCTCTACCTACTTGGCCACGGTGGTCACGTTACCGATACAATTCTATTTAATATTACAATACAAAATTACAAAGAGGTATTATTCAATGAATTAAAGAAAGTATTTTGTAAAATTGAGTGGTTATTCTTAAATAATTCGATACATAAAGCCAATAAGAATTTTCACAATTTTCAATTTTCTTCGTTTTTCACCGGTTTTACCGCTTAGCCCAGAAACATTTCATATAAGCAATCATCTTGTTTCTACAGGTCATATCTTTCTCTATGCAAAGAGCTGGATCCACTGAAATTGAGAGAAACCTAGGTTCTGCCAAACTACAGCGTCGTGTTGCTCTCCCGTCTTTACCATCGGAAACATTTGTCCAATTTCTGACGCTAGCTTCGATGACTGAAGATGGAAGTGCTAAAGCTCTCTAGCCAATTACTTAGTCAGATGTCTCATTACCAGCCTCTCAGAGTTCGTTATTTAGTTTGGCCACTACCTTGAGTGCAGCTTGACTGGCGCCTTGGAAAATACTCTCGCCCTACTCAGTATTTTATGAGCTCACACATTTTTAAGCCAGCAAGTGACTTTAAGAATTTCCTACCGATAAAAAGGCAAAGCGTTTTACTGGTATTCCGTTGTCCTCTGTCAGTAACATACCTCGGCTACTTTGTATAAACGATACTAGTAAGAATGTATGCACATAGCCAGAATAATTTATTTATTTGTCTAAAAAAAAAAAATAATCATATGATCTCTCTTCTTTTCATTTTTCTCTATTCCAGAAGTGTCCAAAACCGAGCAAAATATGCCACCAAACACCAACACAGTGCCGACACCAACACTACCGCCTGCAACTAAATATGGCTTTGATGAAACTATGTCAATGGCATCAACAAAATCGCCAATAGCCACAATGAAATTCGATGAACCAACATCGCAACAGGAAGAGCAACTCAACGGCTTGCATGGCTTAGTC